GGGACAGAGCTTTCCCGGAGTTCAGGAGACTCGGGGGAGACCAGAACTCATCTCTACAGACGGTCCTCTTAGCAGTGACCTGGGAATTTCCATCTCTCAGTGCCCTGTGGGAACGGCTGCGTGATTGCTTTTTTTCAGGGCTTTGTCAGCTTAGTTTGACATGATGAAATTTGGCCTTGTTATGTCCTTCTAAAGCTAGGATTAGTGGTTCCTGAATGAACTCTGCTTCTGGGAATGGTTCTGCACCAAAACCAGGCATAGGTTTTTGTTCTCCCTTTCCTAGGGTCGAGACAAGTGGAAATCTTTGTTGTGCTAGGTACAGCTCATAACATGAAAAACTGGTTGGCACAGGTCTTTGTTCCACAGCTGTGTGACCTTATCAATGTTTGTGTGCTGGCTGTTGTTTTTTCTTCTGTCAGTGTACTATAAACACCATTTATTTCACCTTCTCTTCACATATTCTGTTTGTTATTAGAAAATGAAGACTCAGCCCAAAAGACAGAACCTGCAGATCAGCTAGTTGATTCTTTGGAGTCCAGTACTTCGCAGAGCGGGTAGGAAAATCTTTCTGTGTCTTGTGGCCCATATGCATGTCAGTCTGTTCCCCTCTGTGACTTCTTCCGTGTGCCAGTTCGTTCTGTGCAGGTAAAGATTGTCTGCTCTGGACAGGATGTACCAGAATCAGTGTGGGAGGGCCTGTTCTGACAGGTTTTAAGGTTGTTTGAAAGCTTATAAAGTACAGTTCATGGCTGAGCTATTCGAATCAAGAGTCATGCAGCTCGACAGGAACCTTTGTAGTCCATTGTAAGAGCAAATAAACTTTCAGCGGGAACTTTTCTGTATACTGTAAAATATCCTGATACTATAAGCATTCCCACCGTCTATAGTTCTGGTGGAAGATGTGCAACGCAACACCTTATGCTGTTTTCTGTACAATATTTTGGCTTTTTTTCTTCATCCTTTGTTTTCTGTGTCACTTCATTAATGCTGCTGATCATCCCATGCTGATCAACCCTGTTATTAGATGTTTGGCTTGTTGGTGTCTGTTGGATATGTGGTGTTCGTGGCCAAGTAATTTCATTGGTTACACACACTAGTACCATGCAGTGGAGTTTCATGTGCCATTATACATGTTGCACAGTACACAATTTCAGAAATGTGTGAGTTAATTACAGTAGGTAAGCTACAACTTCATTGAAAACAAGGGGGAAAAAATTCCAGGAAAAAACCTGCAACAAACTACACTGCTTACTCAAACAGTAGTTTGATGCCATCTTGACTTGATGCTGATGACATCTGTATCAGCCTTCTTGACTCTAAATGAGTTCTTCCATCTCTTTATGACATCCTCTGATTTTCTCTGAAGAGATTAATACAGACTGTGAGCAAAATGGCCAAAGCAGATGATGGATACTTGTGGATGTTACCTAATAAATTTGTCGTAAGTTAGATCTCCTGTGAAAGGGATGGAGATGGTCCTGAAAGGTTGTGTGAGGAGGAATCAGCTGAACACTGTCTTTGTAAGTCTGCTTGTAAAGCTTGTGTAGCTCTTCCTAATCATTCAGTGAAACTCTTGGGCATCAGTGGTGTCTGGAAGAAAAAATTCCCAAGCTGTTATCTCCTATGTTGATGGAAAGCTTTTTGAGCAGATGTGTGCACCTATGGTAGCAAGTGACCAAATAGCCCTTCTAGGTGTGTTTGTGCAACTGCTAAATTAAAAAGCAAATGGACTGGAGAACAATGGCATAGAAGTCCAAGAATTCTTACTTTAAAAAATTGTTCCCTCCAAGTGTCCCTGCTTTTTTACTCTTGTCCATCTGCTGCCATTTTGTGATCCTGCTATTCAGCTCATTTGAGTCGTTCTCACAGACTTTCTGGTCTATCATGCTGCTACTAGGAAAGGAAATCACACTGTTGAGAGAATTTGAGTAAGAAATGGCTTTATTTCTGGATAAAATCTGTACTGCCAGAGGCGTAAAGATTTGGAAACAAAAGCCACATTTGCCCTGTTCAAGTCTTCTCTGTGGTTGCAGCAAAGAGTGTGTCTGAATTGAGCCATGTATATTTTTACAAACTTTTTTTAACCATTTCAAACTACACTGTTAGGCTGCTTCCTCCTTAATGAGAATATATCTCTCTTCTGAAAGGAAACATTTGAGGAAATGAATATCCATGTTCTCTTGTTTCTGATCCTTTAGACCAAAGCAGTTGACATTGGTTTTGTAGTGCTGTGAGAACGCTTTGGTTTTCAAAAGGACAACTCTTTCTAGTCTTATTTAACACAAAGGTTGGTTCTCGTGGAATTTGCACGTAGTATCTGTGAGTATGACAGAGGACACACTTCTGGCATCCGTCTGAGTTCATTTGGGATGAAAAGTCTTTGCAGCCATAGACAAGATGCGGCATTTTTTCACTATAATTGAGAAGAAAACCCTCAGTGGACAATGAGTGTCAAAGATGTTTCCTTTCCTGCCCATTCTTTCTCTGCTACGTACCTTTTTGTTCTAACATGTCCATTTTTGTTGTTAAGTGCAGTGCTTGGACCTCTTTGCTAATATTGTGCTGCCCTTGTATGTCTTATGGCTTGCTTATCTGTGGAGTGTGTTTGAATACAGCAGAGAGACACCTGGGTTCTCCTTGTATCTGTTGGGATTGCTCATAGGAAAGGCATTATGAGCCACTGAAGCAGATTACATTCTCAGGATGGTTGTCAAAACTGCTTTGAAGTCTTTCACGGATCCAGCTGACCTCTGATGGAGTATGGAGATGCCATGCAGTAGCTGACATAAAAGAAGCTGTCTTTTCTTGGGCAGAAAAGTTGCTGCTGATGTCTGCCCTTAGTACAGTGTTGGTGATGGCATGCTGTGGGGCCAGTGCAGTGAATTACTGCTGTCTGAAGGGCTGTAGATACAGAGCATCCCACTGAGGTTGCTCCCTCTAGCTCACAGGGAGCACTGCCACGCAGGGATGGCAGGACTGGGGTGGCAGGGGTGCTTTGTGCAGCTGGCAGGTGCTGGCCACAGAAGCTTGTTCCCTTCAGTTCATTTGAGTTCGAGTTCCAGAGCAGAGTGATTCCTCTGCTGGCTGTGTCCTGGCTGCAAGGGCTGAATTGCAGTGCTCTCTTCTTCCGAAAGGTCGCGGGTTGGGCCGCACTGGAGTGCGGGCACAACAGAGGATTTGAAGGAAGAAGTTGGCACTTTGGAGGACCAGAAAGTGACTAAACTAGAAGAGAAGCTGCCTGACCAAATCCAGTCCCTCAAAGAGGTAGGTGGATGTTTCTTGTGTCTGAAAACAAGGACAGAGGTGCAGCAACAATTCTCCTGTGCTTATGGCTGTGGGACTGAGGCTCTAAGGGTTCTGCTAAGATAAAAGTAGTATTAACATAGATTGTTAACTTTTTTAATATGTTAATGGAAGGTAAAAGTCTCATTTGCAAAATCCCTCTTGTGTCTTCAGCTAATCCTCACTTCCTTGCAACTTTTTGCTCACTAAGGCTTCCAGGTAGTTCTCACCTTCTCAGTCTTACCTGGTGCTTCTGGGAATTCCTTTCTCGGAGATTTGTGGAAGAGGGAACTGAAAGTCTTTTGTTTCTTCTTGTGAGCAGCCTGTTTGCTTGCATTACGGATAGAGTTGGGAAGACCTGTTGTGTGACACCCAGCTCAGGACCTGTGAATTTGCATATATGAGGAGAGATGCCCTAGTGATCCAGATGGACTTTTACCTAGGGTAAAATGACAGTTTGATTGTGGCTCTGGTCTAGATGTGCACAGAGCTGAAAGGCTCTCCCTAGAGAGATTGTGTCTTGGGAATTCTTTCCAAGAATAGTCACCTAAATCTATAAGGCTGTTGCTTTGTTGAGAGCACACAATTAGGTCTAAGGCAAATGCAAAGATGTGCCTGCCCAGGGACTCCTGGGGAGGCCAAGAGGTGTGTAATTCGTGAGACTAATGCAGCATTTGACTTCAAAGTTCATGATTTTGGTGCTGGGGGGAAATAATGCCAAGAGGTGTCTCAGAGTTGGCCATTTCTTTTACGGTAATAGAAGCTTCTGCAGACCTGACTTGGTTTCATAAAGGTGCCTGAATTACTAATGAGTTGTTTTAAATCCAGCTAGAGACTCTTTAACCAGGATGGTCTACGTGACAATGTTTCTTGTGTGCTTTGTGCAGGAAGCTATTGTTCGGGTAACCAAATACCATGTACCTCAGGGAGTAGGGGATATAGTCATGATTCAGTCAGATCACACTGGTGCTGTGGATATCCTTTCAGCTGAGCTGGAGACTGCAGACCTCCTTGGGGAGCAGAGGAAAGGTGAGTCCTGAAGGCAAAACACTTGTTGGGGTCCCTTTGCAAGTTCTCTCTGGCTAGAGAAAAGCAGAGGCTGTCCTGGAGACATTTCTAATTCCTGATGTAAATTTGGGCTCCTGGCTAGCAAGTGCAAAAGCTTCACATCCAGGGCTTCTGGAAGCAGGCTCCAAAATGCAAAAGCCTTATCAGGAATAGCTTCACTGTTTTCAGATAACAGTTTGTCAGTA